GGCTTGGGCTACTATGGTTATCTTGTCCCAGTTAAACTGATAGCCTTCATTGTCTGAATGTACCAATATTAAGGAGAGTTCGTTGTGCCATTTTGCTGCCAGCTGATGTTTGTGTATTCTGATGGCCAGTTTCCTTCCTGTCTGTCCTATGTAATGTTTGTGGCAGTCGTTGCACGGCATTTTGTAAACCTCAATGGTTCTGCATGTTGTGGAAATGGGGTCTTTAATCCTTGTAAGTGTTTTTCGTAGAGTGGCTGTGGGCTTGTGGGCCACCATGATTCCTAGTGGTCCCAGGAGTCTCGTTGTCAGTTCCGATATGTTCTTGATGTAGGGCAGTGTGGCCAGTTTGTTAGGGCATACTGTGTCCTCCTGTTGTTGTTCGTTCATGGTGCACCTGCCCCAGGCCACAATTCTCAGATGATGATGCTTTTGACTAAATCTGGGATCACCTTCATAATTGATTGTAGTTTGGGGAGAACTGAAATTCCAGCACAGCGCAAGCAAGCAAGGTGATTGGAGTACGTCAGACATGCATCTTCCCCATTAATTACCTTACAGCTTGCCTTGTCGAGTAACATTCACCAGTCACTAACACTAAATCCCCAGTACATGGAACATTTAAGTGATTACATTTTGTTTGCTTTAGCTCAATGAAAGTGCTGTTGTCTCCAAGTTGTAAAATTTTTAGGATAAGCTGGGATATACTGCTGGGAAGGCAGAGTGTATGTAGGGGACTCAGAGAGGTGTCAAGGCCAGTTGGATAGCTGTTTGCTAGCAGAACTCAGGAGGAAATTTCTGGCAGTAGTAGGCAGCAAAGTGTTGGAATCAGGATTCAGAAGTAGTCCTGGGGAGATGAAAAAGTAGGAAATCAACTGACTGTGTGTTTGGGAAAGTGAGAGGGCTTAGAAGAAGCCAAGAAGCGTTAGTGGGGTAACAGTCTGTGGAATTTGCTGTGTAAGGGCTTTACGACCATGCAGCAACTACACAATGATGTCAGAGAGTTGCGCTGCTGAGTATAAATATTATATTGTGGGTGGAGTTAGAGAGAACGGAAGAGTGAAAAGCGAAGACCACATACAAAACAGTCTTCATAATTGGGAAGATCAGAGCCTGAGATATTTCCAATTACGATGTATAGTCATCATGAGTATGAGTATACAATAAACAGTGCTCCAAAGGAACCCAAGCCTGAAGAGGGTACTCGTCCTTGCCTTCTCCTCAACCGATCTATCTCATAAAACCATAAGATGTAGGAACAGAAGTAGACCATTCAGCCCATCAAGTCTGCTTCACTGATCTGATAATCCTCAACTCCACTTTCCTGCCATTTCACCAGAACCCAAGATTCCCTTCCTGATTAAAAAATGTCTATCTCGGCCTTAAATAGACTTAATGACCCAGCCTCGACAGCCCTCTGCGGTAAAGAATTCTACAGATTTGCTCCCCTCTGAGAGTATATGAAAGAAATTGCAAACTCAAACTCCTAGATACAGGAATAAAAATGACAGGATGAGAGAGAATCCTCTTCCACCTAGTATCATGGAGGCTGGATCATTGAGGATATTCAAGACTGAGTCAGACAAATTGTTGATTGACAATGGAGTCAAGGGTTTTGAGGGGCAAACAGGAAAGTGGACCTGAAGCCATAATCAGATCTGTCATGGTCATAGGTATGGAGGGACAGGCTTATTGGCCTAAACAGTCAATTCCTGCTCCTAACTCTTATGTTCATCTGAGCTCATCGTTCCTCCTGTAACTCAGTGTCACATTTTGTTTTACAATTGGTTCTGTGATGCACCTTGCATCCTTTTACTACAGTAAAGGTGTTGTGTACATGCAAACTACTGTTGAGTTATTGATGATACAATGTAATGAATGTGGAGGGGAGCTTGCTCCGTGGGGATTCTGTAGAAGGGGATGTAGTCCAGTATGATTCTAAAGAGTGTATTGTATTAGAAGGTGTTCGGATAGCAGGATTCTCTACTTTGGGAGTGATGGGGAGGGGCTTTGATCCATTGGGATTCTGTACAGTGGAGTGAAAAAGACAGAGTTTGATCCATTGTGACCAAACGTGATGTTCAGTATTAAAGTTGGGAGCACTGGTATAGATGAGATGGAGGAGGATATTCCTGCAGCATTCCAATGGCTCAGTACACAATGCTTTTTTAAAAATTCACTCATGGGACATGGGCATCACTGGCTGGGCCCAGCATTTATTGCCTGTCCCTAGTTGCCCCTTGAGAAGGTGGGGGTGAGCTGCCTTCTTGAACCACTGCAGTCCATACACTGCGTGTAGACACACAATGTCCTTAGGGGCAAAATTCCAGGATTTTGTCCCAGGCAAAATTCCAGGATTTTGTCCCAGTGACACTGAAGGAAAGGCAATATATTTCCAAGTCAGGCTGGTGAGTGGCTTGGAGGGGAATTTGCAGGGGGTGGTGTTCCCATGTATCTGCTGCCCTTGTCCTTCTAGATGGAAGTGGTTGTGGGTTTGGAAGGTGCTGTCTGAGGATCTTTGGTGAGTTTCTGCAGTGCATCTTGTAAATAGTACACACTGCTGCTACTGAGCGTCGGTGGTGGAGGGAGGGGATGTTTGTGGATGTGGTGCCAATCAAGCGGCTGCTTTGTCCTGGATGGTGTTAAGCTTCTTGAGTGTTGTTGGCGCTGTGCCCATCCAGGGAAGACTGCACTGTAATTGAGAGGAGGGTCCACCCCTGCAAGTTTCAGAGATGCCAACTACAATCCCAGTGATCATCGCCCTCAGAGCCAGTCGTACAAGTAGAATCTCAGCAAGGATCACATCAGCAGGGAACACCATCGGCACACCATAGCCACCAAGAACAGGAACAAGAAATTCAGGAGAAACATCTTCAGCCAAACATTGTGAGAATGTCGGACTTTGTACCGGTCGGAGTGGGTGAGGTGAATAATTAGAGCAACAGTGAAGAGGAAGGTGGTTAAGCCAATGAGGGAGCAGGGACTTACAGGGGCAAGTGATAGATTTCAAACAGGAGAATTCAATTGGAACATAAATCAGCATGGACTAGTCGGGCCAAATGGCATGTTTCTGAGCTGTTTATCCTGTGATGGGCATATACAACATCAATGCTGCCCTGACAGAAATGGGCTAAACACAACAGGCTCAGAGATAGTAGGAACTGCAGATGCTGGAGAATCTGAGATAACAAGGTGTAGAGCTGGATGAACACAGCAGGCCAAGCAGCATCAGAGGAGCAGGAAGGCTGACATTTCGGGTCTGGACACTTCTTCAGAAATGGGGCCATTTTTGAAGAAGGGTCTAGACCTGAAACGTCAGCCTTCCTGCTCCTCTGATGCTGCTTGGCCTGCTGTGTTCATCCAGCTCTACACTTTGTTATCTCTAAACACAATGGGGTCTCCTTGGTAAATGTAATTATACAGCCATAGCATCATACAGCACTGAAACAGACCCTTCGGTCCAACTCATTCACAACTGGCACACATCCCACTCTGCTCTAGTCCCAATGCCAGCATTTGGCCCATATCCCTCTAAACCCTTCCTATCCATATACCCATCCAGATGTCTTTTAAATGTTGTAATTGTACCAGCCTCCACCACTTCCTCTGGCAGCTCATTCCATACACGCACCACCCTCTGTGTGAAAAAGTTGCCCCTATGTGATCTGACCTTCCTGACCAGAGTACTGTGCGGAAGCTCGTTGAATACTTCGCTGAAGTCCATATAGCCAACACGTTCTGTTCTGCCTACATCAATGCTCTTTGTCACCTCTTCAAAAAATTCAATCAAGTTTGCAAGGCACAACTTCCCTCACACAAAGCCATGCTGACTACCCCTAATCAGTCCTTGCCTTTCCAAATGCATGTAAATCCTGGCCCTCGGAATCCCCTCCAACAATTTACCCATCACTGACATAAGGCTAAATAAAAACAGAAAGAACTACAGATGCTGTAAATCAGAAACAAAAACAGAAGTTGCTGGAAAAGCTCAGCAGATCTGGCAGCATCTGTGAAGAGAAATCAGAGTTAACATTTTGGGTCCAGTGACCCTTCCTGAGTTCCAGAGTTCTGAGGAAGGGTCACCGGACCTGAAATGTTAACTCTAATTTCTTTTCACTGACATAATGCTCACTGGTTTTTAATTCCCTGGTTTCTCCTGACAACTTTTCTTAAAATATGGCACAACATTAGCCATCCTTCGTCTTCTGGTACCTCACTGATGGCAGTTGATGAAACAAATATCTCAACAAGGAGTCCAGTAATTTCTTCCCTAGCTTCCGATAATGTTCTGGGAAACATCTAATCAGGTCTTGGGGATTTATCTATCTTTATGCATTTCAAGACCTCGAGCACCTCCACTTCTGTAAGACATTACTACTTATTTCCCCAACTTCCCTCGCTTCCATGACCTTCTCTAAAATGAATACTGGTGCAAAATATTTGTTTAAGTATCTCACCTATCTCTCGTGATTCCACATTTACACGACATCATTGATCTTTAAGGGGCACTATTCTCTCCTTAGTTACTCTTCTATCCTTAATCTACTTATAATCATAGAATCACTACAGTGTGGAAACAGGCCATTTGGCCCATCAAGTCCACACCAACCCTCCAAAGAGCATTCCACCAAGACCCACACACCTACCCTATTCCTGGTAATCCTGGATTTCCAATGGTTAATCCATCCAGCCTGCACATCCTTGGACACTATGGGCAATTTAGCAGAATCTATTGTAGAATCTCTTTGGATTCTCCTTAACCCCAATTGCCAAAGCTATCTCATGTCCCCTTTTTTGTTCTTCTGATTTCCCTCTTAAGTAAACTCCTACTGCTGTTATACTCCTCCAGGGATTCACTCGATCCCAGCTATCTACACCCGACATATGCCTCCTTCATTTTTTTGAACAGAACCACAATTTCTCTGGTCAACAGCATTCTCGAGCTTAGAGAGGGAGAGGAGAAACACACAGAGAAGGTGCAGCTGTATGCAGACTGCCCTTACCGTTGATGACATGAAAACTGGGGAATGAAGATCGAATCTGTCCAGCATCTGGCTTCATCTTTAATTTCTTCAAATGGGAAGTATGGGCATCACTGGGAAGGAAACAGTGTCTTGCCCGTCGTAATGCTCAGGCAGTGACTGTTAACTCATCGACAATGATCAAATCCAGGACCCATTTACATTCCTGAACACACTCCTCCACTTGTTGATATCCTTTATCAAACATTCGGGATGTGTCTAGACCGATCCGCTTTATCACAGAAAGGGATCACGGTGTCGGAGAGAAAGTTCACACAACAGCATCCAAAGTAATCACAAAACATCCCCAGGACAGGAGCCAGAGCAGTGAAATCAAAAGTAAATATTGCTCGGCACAATTTCCACACACCGTCCCCGTTAAACACTCCCAGGACAGGGACAGCACAGGGTTAGATACAGAGTAAAGCTCTCTCTACACTGACCCCATCAAACACTCCCAGGACAGGGACAGAACGGGGTTAGATACAGAGTAAAGCTCTCTCTACACTGTCCCCATCAAACACTCCCAGGACAGGGACAGCACAGGGTTAGATACAGAGTAAAGCTCTCTCTACACTGACCCCATCAAACACTCCCAGGACAGGGACAG